TATTATTATTATTATTATTATTATTATTTGTGTTTCCGAGTAGTTTGTAGTTGTTAAAAAATGATTAGAAAAAGTATTTGAAATGAAATGGTAGAGAAAATCTCATGGGAAGAAAGAAAGAAAATTCCAAATAATCGATCGATTAAAAAATATCGATCGCGTGTTGAATGGATATCGATTATTGATTTTTACAATCCAAACCGTGTGCGCGTGCGCGTGAGTGCATGTGATTTAGATAAAATGTAATTATTATTATTATTATTTCGTTGTTGTTGCTGTAAAAAAAATATTGATTTGTTATATAAAATATTGATTGAAAGCTACAAGTTTCTCGTATCCTTTTCTTTCTCTCTCTCTATCTTTATCGTCTCTTTCGTCATTTCCTTTTTTCCCTCTTTTCCCCCCTTTTCCCTTCCTCCCCTTCCTTGTTCCTATCCATGCGAAGGGGATAACGTTTGTGCGAAAGGTGAATAAAAAAAATGAAAGGAAACTTTTGGCTTTCTGTTTTTTTTTTATTCTTGTGTCCTTTGTCTCTGTCGTATATACTTTGTCGTCAATTCCATTGATTGATCGATTGATTGATTGATTGATTTATTGATTGATTGATAACCAATAAAAACAAAACAAAGTAAAACTAATTCGTTCGTGTTTTTTTTTTTTTTCTCTTTTTTTGATATTTTTCTAGCTCGGCCGACGTTTTTGAATTTGAATCTCAATTTGAATTCTCTTCGGTTACAACCTGGTACCAAACGTACGTCGCATATATATACATACATATTTTTTTGTAACGTTTATTATTATTATTATTATTATTTTTTGAGTTTTGTTTCTCTCTATCTCTATCTCTCTCTCAATTAATTTTTTTTTTTTTCGATTTTGGTTGTTTTTATTATTTTATTTATTATTATTATTATTATTTTTTTATGTTTGGTTTCGTTTTGTTTTTTTTTTTTTTTTCGTTTTTTTCCGTTTGAATGCAATGAAATTATATAAAATATTCAAAATGGCGTCAAATATTTATTTATTTCGTTTCCTTTTGACAGCTTCGCCGAATCCCAAATTGGGTTTGAGAATGACGACGCTTCACGAAGAACATGGACAACCCATGTCACCGGTCGAAGATGGCGACGAAGATGAGGAAGCGTCCGATAAAGAAGTCGATAATTCCGACGGCACGAAAACTCTCACGCCGAAAACAGTGGAAGGAAGTCCGAAATCGTGCGCGGGAGAAGACTCGATCATCACTTACGGGGAGGGGAAAAAAGAATGGAAAGACGGTGATAAAAATAGGAAAATGACGACT